TGTATGAGTGTCTTGCCTGCATGTATGTGAGAGCACCCGTGTCATGCAATGCTGCGGAGGTCAGAAGGCTTCAGAGTCCCCTGGAACTGGAGTTAAGGACAGTTCATAGCCACCATGTGGGTGCTGGGAATTGAACCCAGGTCCTCTGCAAAAGCAGTCTGTGCTCTTAACCGCTGAGCCATCTCTCCAGTCCAGAGATTCTGTCCTTTGACTCTCCATGTACAACTGAGAACACCCTCTCTACTTCTTACTCTTTACTTTCATTATTTACTGTTGTATTCTCATTAGACTACAACGCAATTAGGCTAGGGACTAATTCTTATTCATACTTGAATTCCCAGGGCTGAGTACATGTATACATTTAGTACATTAAGTACTAAATGAATGCTTGAAATAAAAACACCCAGCATATTCCATTTGTAAAATGGAATCTTTTTTTCTTTCTCCTTGTGAACCAGCTTACTAACTTGTAGGTTTTCTTTATGGGTCCAAGATGTGCTGACCAGAGAAGCTGAATCTCCTTTTCAGAATAAATAGTCAAGCAAGAGCTAAGCCTGGGTCCTTACTCACCACTGACAGTAAGTGTCTTTGTTGACTTTTCCCCAAGTCTGGTCAGGTCTACGTAGGCTGAGCCAATCCAGCTGTCAGTCTGGTGTGGCCTCTCTACACTGTCATAGCCATAAGCTCGCCATACTTGGATCTCCAGCCTCTCCTCCCTTAAGTACCAAAGCAGTGACTGGCTCTGGGTGACTTCTACTTTTTTGGATGCCTTGAAAGTAACCAGGACCTGGTTTTTGTTTGTAGAGTCCTTAGGCTTCCTGAGAGGGGTCCAAAAGGCTTCTTGATTGTACAGCTTGTAGCGAAGGTAGCAGTATGTGTTCTTATTAATATTCTTGTGGCCAGCAAGCAGCACGCAGTGAACAGGAAGCCACAGTCTTGGAGTGGAGATGGTAATAGTGGCTGGTACCTCTTGTATCTGGACAAGATCCATCAGGCTATTCTCAAAGCTCCAACCCAACAGCTCAGCAGCCTCCAGTACCCGCTCTCTATCTCCAGAACGGGTGAAGGAAACTGAAAGCTCCAGACCACCTACGATCTTCTGCATAAACTCCATGCCGTGAGGCAGGCTCTCATCTGGCAAAATGACAGGATACCATCCTGTGATCCCTTATGGGAAAAAGGAAAGATTTTCAATTATTGTTTTGAAAGCGAAAAAACACATACCCCTTTATATCTGATTCCCCATCAATCTAGCCCCAAACTGAAGAGAAAACATACCCACACTGAGTTGGACTTTCTCTATATCTGACCACTGAGAGTCAGACAGTAAGATTAGATGAGAAAGACTAGGAATTGGAAGACCTGCGCTCTCTCCTTGGCTCAGTCCAAACCAGTGGTTTATTCTGAGTAAGTCACTAGTTTCCCATAGTTTTGATTTCTATACTTTATGTGAAAATTCATGCCAATCTCATTTACTGAAGCTGTTCTGATTGCTAAAAGAAACAATGGTTGAGTAAGAGCTTTGAAGAGAAGTGTGATAAAAATATGAACTGTTATAAGGTACTGTGCAATGGAAAAAACTCAGGTGATCTGGTGTCTAGTTCCAGGTTAAAAAAAAAAAGGGGGGGGTTGTTACACAGTAAACACATACCAAGAACCAGGTACTAGGTTTCAAAGTACCAGCAGTTACTAACCACTGAGCATCTCCCACATGTCAGATTCTGCTGGTGTTCTCTCTATATTATTTCATTCAATTCCTCTTATGCTCCTGTGACATTCTGAGGATTAAATGGGATACTAATGCCTATTTTACAGACGAGAAAAGTGAAGCTCTGAGAGCAAGTGGCTATAGCTAACCAAGTGGAGGAGTTAGGATTTAGACCCAGGTTCAACAGGCTCCAGTCTACAATCCATTTATTCTAGGTTAATACCATCTTATCTGAATCTCCTAGGAATGATTTGTTTCTGCATTTAGAATTTTTGATTTTAGAATTAATTGAATATTATACAACAGTCAGGAGTCAGGTAAGTCAGTGGTTGGCAAATTTATTCTATAAAAGGCCAGATAGTAAATGTCCCTTGTGGGACCATTTGGTGTTTGTTGCAACTATTCAACCATGCAGTTGTAGTGACAAAGTTGCCAAAGACAATATATAAATGAATGTATTCTAAAAATATCTTTCTATAGACAGATGGTTATCTAACTCTCATGCCAGGTGAGGTTGGCTCTGTCTCCCTAATGAGGTACTGATTTTGATTTTCAGAGCATTCTGAATTGCAGAATTACAGATTAGAATAATAATATTCATATCAACATTCTGATACAGGGTTTTATTGATTTTTTATTGATTTTCCTCCTTCTCTCCCTCCCTCCCTCCTTCCTTCCCTCCCTCTCTCTCTCTTGTCTTTTTGAGACAGGGTCTCCCTGTAGCCCAATCTGCCTTAGAACTCACTATGTAGACCAGTTGGCCTTGAACTCACAGAGATCTGCCTGCCTCTGCCTTGTGCGTGCACCACCATGCCCGGGCACTAATTTTATTTTCTAAATGAGAAGATTTGAGTATATATGCTTTTATAACTTTAGGACTTTTATAAACTTTATTTAATTTTTTTGGCCTTGGGGGTAGAGAGATGGCTCAGCAGTTACATGTACTGTTCTTGCAGAGGACCTGAGTTTGGTTCCTAGTATTCATGTCAGGCAGCTCACAACTGCCTGCAGAGGGATCTGTAGTCCAGAGGGATCTGTAGCTCCAGAGGGATCTGTAGTCTCTGTGGGCACCTGTATTCATGTGCACATAAGTACGCCCCCATAATTAAAATTAAAAAATTAAAATCTTTGGAACTGGAGAATGGCTCAGAGGTTAAGAGCATTTACTACTCATGCAGAGGACCCAGGTTTGGTTCCAAGTAGCAACATGGAGGCTCACGACTGTAACTCCAGTTCCAGGGGACCCAATGCCCTCTTCTGGCCTCCATGGGCTCCTGCATACATGTGGTACACATAAACTCAAGTAATCATACATACACATAAAAAATTAAAATTTTTTAGGGTCTGGAGCGATGGCTCAGTGGTTAAGAGCACTTGCTGCTCTTGCAGAAAGGCCTAGGTTCAATTCCCAGCACCCACATGGCAACTAATAACTGTAACTCCAGTTCCAGGAGAATCCGACATTCTCTTCTGACCTCTGTGGGCATTGCACAACACAGGCACACTTACTTACAATGTAGGCAATACACTCATGCACATAAAATAAAAATAATATATTCTTTAAAAAATTAAATTTCCCATGCCGGGCGTGGTGGCGCATGCCTTTAATCCCAGCACTCGGGAGGCAGAGGCAGGCGGATCTCTGTGAGTTCAAGGCCAGCCTGGTTTACATAGTGAGTTCCAGGCCAGCTGGGGCTACAGGGAGACCCTGTCTCAAAAAGACCAAGAAAAAAACAATTAAAAATCCACCCCCGCCAGTTTGTCTCTAAAATAAGGAGGCTGAAAATGTTGATGTCTTGCTAGATGAGGAAGAGCTGATCTTCCTAAAACAAGGTACTATAGATAGGCTGACTAGACTCAGCAGATCGATAAGCACTGGGGAACGGCTGGGGGCACTGACAACACAGTGGACAGTAACAGGGATGACAGAGTATATGGGTTCCAGTGGGGGTGAGGTGGGGAGGGGGGAAATGGGAGGATGTCACTTGGGATGTGGATATATAGATGAATAAGATTGGGATGTTTTGTATGAAATTCACACACACGAAAATCAATAAATAAAATGAGTTATATTTGAGGAAGAAGCATAAAAATTTGCTTCATGTTAATTAGTAGATCTGAAAAACATTACCACTGAAATCCACCTGATGACTTTATAACCATACTCAGGTGCCAAGGATCTCAGAAAGTAACCGACTGTGACGAGTAATCAGATATATAGAGACAAACATCTAAATGTTAGTTGCATTAAAAATGAGTTTTTCTGTATGAAACAGTATATTTTAATAATGAAATGGAGATCTTTTTTAAAGGTTAAAACCTCAGTCAATTTTATGTCTTATAGGGTTTATATTGAGTACAATATTGTATAATTGTAGTAATTCAACTGTAAACCTAAAAATTTACAGCCAATTTTGAAAGAGATGTGCTTAGCTCTGGAAATTGTTATTGAATATGTCAAAGCTGTTGTAATGAAGTGCTTCTTCTAATTATGTGGTTATTAAATAATTAAAAAAAAAAGAAAATGTTGATGTCTAAGGCTCCTTTCAGCTTTGACCATTTAACAACTTCATGGCCTTGGCTTTAGCAACTTCTCACCTCCGAGTATTAAGTTTCCCCACAATCTAGTAGCTCTTAACATTTTTGGGACACAGATTCCTTCTGCTTTCTGAAAGCTATTAGCCCCAGAAAATACATGAAATCATATAATTCCACAACTGTATTTAAGAACTGCTTAAAGTATATGGTCCCTTTAGCTCTGAGATTCTATAATTGAGATTGCTGGTTGGAAGAAACAAAATAGAATGTCCACTTAGAACTCTGAATACAAAGATGAATGCTGTATCCTAAATTATCTAAAGGTTTATATCAAAGAGGTCAGTTTAATATATAGAGATGGATTTATCAGGGGATGCTGGCTCTCTGACAAACTCTACAGCAAATTTCAGGAGGCAGGAAGCTGAGGAGGCTTATGGTCCCAGACCTATGGCAGCATCTTTCACATGGAGAATTTCAATACACACTTCCATAATCTTGTAAGTTAGGCCTTATTTTTCTTTTTTATAGATGAGGAAATTATGGACCTAAGAGATGAAGTAACTTGTTCTGGATCACAAATAGTAAGTGGAAAAGTAAGATTTGACTCTAAAAGCAAGTTGTATAGACTTTTCTCTAGCAGGCTTATATATAGACAGGTCCTGTTTACTAGGAACTGCAGTGCTGACATTTAAACTCACAATTAAATTAGGCAATCTGTGATAGAATTCTGGAAACTAGATTATAGGCTTCTAGGGAGGAAGATGGGAGAGAAGGAAACTGACATTTACTGGGCACCTACCATGTGCCATGTACTATACTAACCTGACTTCTTTTAAGTCTCACCTTGCAGACTTGTCAGGATTAGCTATTTCTATCTACAAGTGAAGAAAATGGGCTCAGAGACATCAAGTTACTTGGTCAAGGTCACCTACCTAGTATAAGTAGATGTGACCAATATTCTCACAGTGACTTGGTGGCTGTATTTATTTATTTTTTTGAGACAGTCTTATTATGTAACTCAGGCTGGCCTTGAACTCTCCTTCCTCCTGCCTCAGTTTCCTGAGTGTTGGAATTATAAACATGTGATATCATACCAGGCTCTATCTATTCTTTTGGGCTCTTTATTTCATATCTTTATTTTTAGTGGAGAATAAGAGAGTAAAAAATAATGGGTGAGGGACTGGAGAGATGGCTCAGCGGTTAAGAACACTGAATGTTCTTGCAGAAGACCTGGGTTTGAATCCCAGCACCCACATGGCAGCTAACAACTGTCTGTAACTCCAGTTACAGGGGATCCGGCAGCCTCTTCTGTCCTCCGCGGGCATTGCATGACACAGGGGCACTTACCTACATGCCGGCAATACACGCATACACATAAAAAAAAAATCATAAATAAAATATTTTTAAAAATTTGTGAATATTGACTAGTTCTGCTATTCAGTAGCTCTGATGTTTTAGCAAACCATTTATCTTCTCTGAGCCCCCTTTCTCAAAATCTGACAAATGAAAATACTAACTCCGTAGGCTTGCCAGAAGTGTTACTGTGAGGCTCAAATAAGAGAAATCTGAGAAAATACTTTACAGAATCCTCTATTATTTGGGTACTGCCACCATCTTTCCCACTACCACCACCATCTTTCCTACTGGACGATGAGGACAAGACCTTTGCGAAGACTGAGGAAGACTTCAAATGCTTTCGGACCTGTGAGAGACAGCTGGGTGGGTTTGGTGCATGTCTTAACGGGTGGGATTCTTCATATATTGTGTGAGGGGGCTAGAAGAATTACCTCATAAAGGGATGTGAAAAGCCAAGGGCAGTATCAGCATGTGGTAATTCAGGATCCTTACCAGATCTCTTGACCAGCAGATCTTTTGTTGGAACCTTTACTACTCCGAGCAGATAATCTCTGCATGACTGGATACTGGCTATATCACTGACTGTTAAATGAAGAAAAAGAGAAAAATTGTTTCTGAGGTAATGTGTTTACAGTATGTTCATATAACACTTCACTTACACACACTGATCTATCTCAGTGTTGAAAGATGCATTTGAGGTTTTCTTGCTCATATCCCAGTCAGAATTTGAATGCTGTTCAAATGTTTTTAACTGGACTGTTTCTTCTGAGAATTGCAGGCTTATGGAAAAATTGCACAAAATTATAATGCACTCATCTCCATCCTTTACCTAGAGTCACTCATTAACATTTAGATGTAACTACTTTGTTTCTCTCTACATTCTCTCAGACACAATTTATATTCTTATTTTTACTATGTCCTTTAGAAATAAGTTGTAAGGATTATCACCCCTCACTTCCTAACATTTCAGTGTATATCTCCTAGGAAGGGATGCACTATCCAAAACAGAACCTCATTTAATTCTGAAGGTGAAGAGCTATTTAGTGCTTACCTGACTTGGTATTTTCATGATAGATAGCAAAAATGATTTCTGCAAACTCCAATAGCTCTGCCAAGAAACAGGCCTCTCCACTACAGTGCTGAGTCACCAAGTTACATGGGAACTCAATGTGATGGGAGAACTCAGGGCAGAAGGAACAGGCCACAGGGCGGGTTCGGCGCTGTTCCCCCTTGGGCAGGAATGAGAGATGACTGGTGACAGAGGCATTGACTCCAACTGTGGCACTAAACTGTAGAGCAGGTTCCTGTTCGGCCAGTGCCCTGTAGGGGACCGAGAAGGAATGAGAAGGTACCATGATATATATCATCAGAAGATCAGTTTGATTGCCTAGGAAGTACATCTACTGCTTCCATGAGAGCCCCAAGAACACTATTCAACATTTTTCTACTTAGGCTTTTGGCACTGCCGCAATGTGCTTCCTTGGTAATTTAGATATGACAGGGTACTTGTATGGGATACACAGATACATATTTACATAGGGTCAGAACCTCTGACCTCAAATCCCCAAGATAATAAAATGGATAATATCTATCTGCCTGTCATGGACATCTGGACACTGTACTGTCTAATATCATAGTAATCAATTTCAGTTGAACAAGTTGGATTTTACTGCTCATTTCAATGAAAGAAAATAAACACTACGGAGAACCAGAGGGCATCTTAGTAAGAAGGTACCAGAAGGACTTTTAGCATTGGGCTTGGATTAGCTGATTTAGAGAAGGAATCAAAGGAGCAGGTCTTTGCTCAGCATTGGTGTTTTCAGTAAGTCTCATCTAGAAGGAAGGAAGATAAGACTAAAGTCAAAGCTGTGCTTGTTAAAGCCGCAGGTCATTCATTAGGCAGTCTGCGTGAGGGGGCACTGGGTGTTTTTGTGGGTTTCAGAGTAATCTTGTTTTGGTGTGTTCTTAGAGAAGATTATAAGAAGTCTTGTTTTTGTCTCACTTCTTCATGTGTAGGAGTAACCTTTGTTCATATTCTGTGAGATTCTTTACGCCCAACAGGAAAACCCCGACCCTGGTTATGAATGTCTAGCTAGTTCCCAGATGTCAGGACTGGTTTGCTCTTTCTTTTTACAGATGTTCTGTGATGTACATACAAAATATATTTACCCTTCATTGACACTCATAAAGAAGTCCCATTGCACAAGATCTGCACTAGATCAAGCTAGCCAAAATTCCAGCATGGATGGGGAGAAGCTCCTAGCTGAGAAGTTATTGGTAACTAACAGCTGCTAGGGCAGGGAGAGTCAGCTTTTTAAAGAGATGCAGCTCCTGATAGGCTGCCCATGCTCCATGGATGGTCCTACATTCACTGAGCACTAAGCAGACTGTGATGGCTAATCCTGGGTGTCAACTTGACTGGATCTGGGATTAAATGAAATGAGAGAGATCTTGATTGGATCATCTGAAGTTGGAACCCTAAATGTGGGTGTTACCTTCTGCTGGCAGCCCATATAAAAGACCAAGGCAGAGGAGAACGCCAGGCTTCTTGCTGCTTGCCTTCTCTCTCGCTGGTGAGTTCGTCTTGCTGCTGTACACTGAAGACTAGCTGATCTTTTGGGTCCTTCCTCTAAGAACCCTCTTGAACATCATATATGTGATTACAGGATAGTAACTTGGAGTTCCACAGATCTTGATTTGAATCCTGACACTACCATTTACTTATTGTGTGAACCTGAGTCAAATGTTCAGTCCCTTTCAATCAAGTCTGCTCCTCTTCCTTAAAATGAATTACTTACTGTATATAAACTTGGATGCCTGTTGTAGTTTTGCTTAATAAAAATAGGAAAACAACCTAAATGATCATTAACAGAAGATTGCACTACATCCATATAACAGCATATTGTGAAATATATGTATGCCTAGGTCAAGTAAGGTAGAAATAAACTGAATATTAACATTGGTTAAAAAACAATCATAAAAAAGTGAAAGGGCATTGTGAAGATACCATTAGATAACAAATACAAAGCAGAAAACCTGCTTATGGACAATGAAAGGGCTTTTCTTAGGGTATTTTGTGTGTGTCTGTGTCTGTGTGTGTGCATGTGTATATGTGTATGTGTGTGTTTGTGTGTGTGTGCACATGCACATGCATGCTGGATAGCTTTAGTTGTCAACTTGACACAACTGGTTAGAGGGAACTTCATTGAGGAATTGCCTCCATTGGATTGGCCTGTGGCCATATCTGTGGGTGGTGGCAACCCTGGGCAAGTGGGCCTGTACTGTATAAGAAAACAGGCTGAGTACAGGTTAGGGGAGCTAGCCAGTAACCAGCTATCCTCCATGGTCTGTGCTCCAGGTTCCTGCCCTGAGTTCCTGCCTTACCTTCCCCTGATGATGGACTGTGCTTATAAGTCAAATAAACCCTTTCTTCCCCAAGTTGGTTTTCGTCAGTGTTTTTGTGACAGCAACTGATGGCAAACTAAGACAGTGTGTATGCCTTGTGTGTGTTGCCTGTAGAATCCAGAAAAGGTCATCAGATTTCCTGGAGTTAGTTACAAGAGGTTGTGAGTCACCTAATATAGGTGCTGAGAACCAAACTTGGGTCCCCTGGTCAAGAGTAGAAAGTGCTCTTAACTGCTGAGCCATCTCTCCATCCCTGAAAGAACTCTTAATGGGGAACTCTCAGGCTGCACTGAGGTTGCATAAAGGCTTGGGCCTAAGCTGGTCTGAGTTTGTTCATTGAGTAATCATTTGCTGAACATCTGCTCTATGTGTCATGCACTGGGTTCAAAGCTGGATATCAAGTCGTAAAATAGTTACAATCTCTTACTCTTAGGAACTTAAAAGACTACTGGCTATGTCCAAGGGAGCTCCTACTCATTCTGAATTAAAGATCAGGTGAGTCAGAAGATAGGAATGAGTAAGACAGAAGTACCTACTTTATACAAACACCAAAAATGCATTTTCTTCTCTCTCTCTCTGGTTTTGTTTTTGAGACAGCTGGCTGGCCCAGAACTGCCTATACAGGCCAGGCTGGCCCAGAACTTACAGACATCTGCCTACCTATGTTTTCCTGAGTACTAGAATCAAAGGCATGTCATAAATGCATTTTCTTTTTTAAAATTTTACTATTTTTATTTTATGTGTATGCGTGTATTGCCTGCATGTAGGTAAGTGCACCCGTGTCGTGCAATGCCCACAGAGGTCAGAAGAGGCTGTCAGATCCCCTGGGACTGGAGTTACGGACAGTTGTTAGCTGCCATGTGGGTGCTGGGATTTGAACCTGGGTAATAACCAGTGTTCTTAACCGCTGAGCCATCTCTCCAGCCCCCAAAATGCATTTTCAAGAGGACTACTGCAGATGAAGGCTGGGGTCTACTGAGGGAAGTGGACTTCAGAATGCCTGCTATTGAAACACCAGTGAGGACCAGAAAGAGGAGTATGGTAATTTTTTTTAAAGTTTATTTTAGTTTTATCTTGTTGTATGAATGTTTTTCCCACATGTTTGTAAGTGACCACTTGTATACAATGCCACCAGGGGCCAAAAGAGGGTATCAGATCCTATGGAACTGGAGTTACAATGATTTGTTGTTAGCCGCCATGTGGGTGCTGGGAACCAAATCCAGGTCCTCTGCAAGAGCATCCAGTGCTCTTAACTGCTGAGCCGTCTCTAGTCCCAAGTAGTAGGTTTAGAGCAACAGAATTCCTCTTTTTAATTAAGAGACAATGAAAAACTAATTTCTGATTTTACTATATCCTAAATTAGCTAGGTAGCATTGGATGTAATCATGAAAATTCATACACGTATTTGTATAAAAGTTGGTAGGTTATAAAGTGACTTCATACTTAATTTTTCACTGATCTCTACAAATATCAGGGCAGATATTCTTAACTTTCATTTTTCAGATGAAGAAACTAAGGCTCACAGAGGTAGAGAAAGCTCAAGGTCACACTCAGCTAGTGGGGGCTGGGAGTGGGACTAGAAACCACAATGTCTGGTTTCCAGTGCTTGTCTGCTTCCATTATTTCCTAGCTCATCTGCTGGGCTTCGTCTTACTTTCTGTGGACCTCCCTGGCCCTACCAGAAGAGTGCAGTGTCAGAACTGGCCTAACTGCTGCTTCATCCTTCTTGACATTGCAACACAGGCTTATATGGGGGCAGGGGCTGAGGCTGGGTGGGGGTGGGGCAGCTGCAAACTGCCTGTCATCTAAACTGACTTTCTCTGTACATTCTCAGAGAGGGATTACTGAGTAAAGTTTCTTGTGTTGTTCAGTCTGAGATCTACCAAGATAAGTGAATTCCAAGTCTTTCTCTACTAATAAAACACTAGCCAATTAGTGCCATATTGAAGAATTCTTAACTTGGCTGCTTTTGCCACAGAGCAGATTCTTCAAATTCACAAGTTTGATGCCTTTGCATATGTTCTTTTCCTTGACTGGAAATTTTTTTTTTTGGTCTTTTTGAGACAGGGTCTCCCTGTAGCCCCACCTGTCCTAGAACTCACTATGTAGACCAGGCTGGCCTTGAACTCACAGAGATCCTCCTGCCTCTGCCTCCCAAGTGCTGGGATTAAAGGCATACTAGAATTTATTTTAAAGATTGTGTGTGTGTGTGTGTGTGTGTGTGTCTATGTGCATGTGAATTTAGATGCCCTAAGAGGCCAGAGGCATTGGATCCCTAAGGAGCTGGACTTACAGGGAGCTATGAACTGTCCAACATAGTTGCTGGGAACTGAACTCAGGTCCTCTGGAAGAGCAGTAAGTGTTCTTAACACTGAGCCATCTCTCCAGCCCTTATTTGGGCATCTTGACAACTACTACTCTTCTTTCACACCTTAGTTTAAGCTATTTTGAAGGGCCTTGAAGGCTAACCTAAGAAAGTTGGCCTTTATCCTATAGACCAGTAGTCCTTAAAGAAGTAAAAGCTGAGGAGGTTTACAGGGTAAAAACTGGGGCACAGGAAAGAAATATTAAAACTTAAGAGTTTCTCTGTGTTATGGCATATTTTGTCATGTATTTAGCATATTAGTATAGAAGTACCTGAAGATAATTTAGACATAAATAAGCACACCCCAATTTGGAGAGCATGCTAAATTTTTAAATGAAAACGCACAAGTAAAATTAAGAGATCACTGCCATTGACAATGGAAAACTATCAAGTTTTAATCTAATGGAGTAACATGATTAAAACTGCCCGAGGGGCTGGAAATGTTTGGTTCTCAGTACCCATATGAGGTAGCCTAAAGCCAACTGTAACTCCAGTTCTGATACCTTCTTCTGGCCCACAGGCATTTGCATGCTCTGGTACACATACACACTCAAGGCAAATACACACACACACACACACAAATAAATTTTAAAAAACTGCCCTGAAAAAACTTTTTAAAAAAGTCATTATAGGCCGGGCATGGTGGCACATGCCTTTAATCCCAACACTCGGGAGGCAGAGGCAGGCGGATCTCTGTGAGTTCAAGGCCAGCCTGGTCTACATAGTGAGTTCCAGGACAGCTGAGGCTACAAGGAGACCCTGTCTCAAAACGACCAAAAAAAAAAAAAAAAGCCATTACATTTTTTTACTTATTTTGTGTGCATTTGTGCATTGTGCTGTTTGTGTGCATCTATATGGGTACCTTCATGCCACTGTGCACATGTGAAGGTCAGACAACAACTTGTGGGAATTGCTTCTTTCCTTCTATCAAGTGGGTCTTGAGGACTGAACTCAAGTTGTCAGGCTTGGTGGCAAGTACCTTAACCCACTGAGCCACCTTGCTGGCTCCTGTGAACACTTTTAAACAAATACTAAGATGTTCTAGGCAATTACTAAAAAGGTCTGTTTGTTGAGTTTAGTAAGGAGTGGTGTTTACTAGACTGAGCACTTTATTGCTGCTTGAGCAGACCTCACACTGGTGGTACCTCACTCACTCAGAGACAAAGGTAAACAATCTGACTCAGTTATAGAGCAAAAACTAAGGAGAACTTGCCTACTTCTTGAACTCAAATCCAAATTCAAAGCTCATTTGAAGCAGGAGCCTGATCTACTTTCTCTTGCTTGCTGTATGCCCACTGTTGCTAGAGCTACTCCGTATGGTATGTCGGGGTATAGACAGGCATTCAGGAAGTGTCTCTGACTAGAGGAAAAAACTGCATGCCGATAATGAACAGAACACTGTGTGTTCCACCTAGGTACAAATGGATAAAGGAGGGCTGAAGGGATGTAAAATTATGAAGGAAGCAGGAGTTTAAACAGAAAAGAGGAAGGATAGCTAAGGCCGAGAGAAGAGCAAAGGCCTGAAGAAGATGAGGAAGAGACCCATGCTGTTTTCCTACAGAAAAATTACTCTGGGCAGAAAAACCAGCAAGGTAAGGGACCTGGCGGGGGGGGCAAAGTGCTCCAAATTGACAAAAGGACCAGTGGCTCAAGCAGAGGAAGTACAGATTATAAAGGTAATGGGATCAAATTATTTGAGACCTTATAGACATGTAAGGACTGGCTTTTACTTTGAAGATGGAAGGTCACTGGTGGACTCTGAGTAGCCACATGTCAGGACCGAGTTAAGTTTCCATAGATCACTGACCATTATGTTGAGGAATAGAATGAAGGGTTACAAGATGGAAAAACAGGAGGTGGAACTCAGAGACTGACATATGTGAACATGGGTTTAGAGAGGACTCGAAGTGAGGGTATGGCATGGTTTGAGGGTGCAGGGCATGCCCATGGAGTAGGGGCTTAAGAAAGCAGAAGACGCTGGGCATGGTGGAGCACGCCTTTAATCCCAGCACTTGGGAGGCAGAGGCAAGCAGATCTTTCTGCTGTTTGAGGCCAGCCTCATCTACATAGTGAGTTCCAGGACGGCTCCGGCTACAAGGAGACCCTGTCTCAAAAAGACCAAAAAAAATAGAAAGCAGAAGACAAAATTGTTGGACAGAGTCAAGGAACTGATTTGTAATAACAGTAGCAAAAGTCTGCAAGTGATTTACTCATATTCTGAAATGCTGTCTTACAGAAAGAGTTGTGGTTAGTGAAATGGAAATTATTCATAAGAATGTTACCATGTCTGAACATCATACCCTATAGACTGCAGCAGAGAAAGATTTAAGTGGTTTCCTAAGGTGGACTTACTTGGCTGCTGCTTGCAGACCACAGGCTCTGATAATCTGGACTGAGATGGAGACAGTCCGGGCAGCAAGAACTCCCTCCGTTGTTCTTGGGCTCCGCCTATACCTTAGGCCCACATCCAGAAAACCTGAAGGAGGATAAAAAAAAAGGAAAAGACTGAAAAAAGCCTGGGTGGAAGAACCTTCTTCCAAATCAGAAACTCCTGGTCAGGAGGGTGAACGAGAAACACTGCAATCACAATGAATGACGCGGGGCCAGAGGCAGTGAGAAAACCTACCCATGGTCAGAGTCGCTTTCTGTTTTGTACTTTAGGGTAAATAACCACATGCCATCTTTTCTATAAGTCTACCACACTACTGCCTCATTCCAGGACAGCTTCAAGGAATAACTCAACAAGCTGAATCACCGAAGGGCAGGGGAACAATGCAATCTTAATTATGGCAAGATAAAACATTGGGTTTTGGCAGATTCACTTCAAGCATCACAGTGACTTGATTTAGGAAGCTAATTATGGTAAATTTGGAGTGTGGATCATCTTGATGGAAACTATCAGGCTGTAACACCATTTAAGGCTCCAAAATCTCATCAATCTTAATTTTTTTTTTTTTCTGGTCTTTTTGTAACAGGGTATCCCTGTAGTCCCAGCTGGCCTGAAACTCACTATGTAGACCAGGCCGGCCTCGAACTCACAGAGATCTGCCTGCCTCTGCCTCCCGAGTGCTGGGACTAAAGGCGTGTGCCACTACACTCGGCATATCAATCTTAAGTTTTAACCTTCTCCCTTACAATGAATTCTCAGTTCAAGGTAACTATGTACTATCGATCCTATCTGTTCATGTTGGTTTAGAATAGTAATTTTCTTAAATTGTTTTTGTTGTTGTTGTCTTTTTTTGAGACAGAGTTTCCTGTTAGTCCCAGCTGACTTGAACTCACTATGTAGACCAGGCTGGCCTTGAACTCACAAAGATCAACCTGCCTCTGCCTCCCAAGTGCTGGGACTAAAGGCGTGTGCCACCATGCCTGGCAATTTTTTATATATATATATATTTTATTTATTATTTTATGTGCATGCATGTATTGCCTGCATGTAGGTAAGTGAATCCATGTCCTGCAATGCCCTGGAACTGGAGTTACAGACAGCTGTTAGCTGCCATGTGGGTGCTGGGATTTGAACCTGGGTCTTCTGCAAGAATAGCCAGTGTTCTTAACCGTTGAGCCATCTCTCCAGCTCCTAGAATAGTAATTTTCTTAGTGTATCTATAGTGAGAATTTGTGCTGTGAAGGCTTATTAAATTCTTGCTGAAGTTCAAGGGGGAAACAAGACAAGCAACATTTATATATAGAGTCCATGGAACTACAAGTTTTTTGAAATGACGTGCAAATTTTACCACATATATTCTATATCATTTTTCTCTTTAAAAAATTATTATTATCTTTTGGGCTGGAGAGATGGCTCAGTGGTTAAGAACACTGGTTGTTCTTGCAGAAGACCCGGGTACGAATCCCAGCACCCACATGGCAGCTAACAACTGTCCGTAACTCCAGTTCTAGGGGATCCAACAGCCTCTTCTGTCCTCTGTGGACATGGACGACATGGGTGCACTTACCTACACGCAGGCAATACATGTATACACATAAAATAAAAATAATTTTAAAAAATTTATTAGTTTTTATTTTAGTGTATGAGTGTATTGCCTATAGGTGTATTAAGTGCACCTGTGTTGTGCAGTGCCTGTGGAGGTCAGAAGAAGGTGTTGGATTTCCCTGGAACTGGAGTTACAAGTGGTTTTTAGCTGCCATGTGGGTGCTGGGAACTGTATCTGGGTCCTCTGCAAGAGCCTCTTAACCACTGAGCCATCCTCTAGCCTCTAGTCATTTTTCTAAGAGAGAGTAACTCAGTTCTCATCAGGACTCAAAAGAGTAAATACCTCCAAAAGCAAAGAGCCATTAAATTAGGGACAAAAACACTGATATTGAAAAGGAAAGACAAATTAGTCTTCAATTACCCGAATGGTTCTTCAATTCTTTGCTGTTTTCAAGCCTGGGGGTTAAGGGGAGATTAAAGTTCTGCATTCCCACATCTTCACGGTACTGCATGGTTACCATGCCGTAGATCCTTGATAATGGCAAGGTTCCTCTGGCAACCATCTGGTCTCTTACGTTAGGATAATAGTACCTGAAAACCACAAAAGCACAAGATGCCAGATGGAAGAATTAGGCGAATGAATGGTCAGCCTGCTCCAGTGATCAGTTTTCAGTAGCTAGTTATCTTTGGAGCCTGACTCTTTTGTACTGGTGGTATATAACTGTGCTTGTGCCTGGATGGATATACTGCCCATCATATGGACAGTGCCTCATAAATTATACCCTCAGTACAGGATGACAAAGCTCAGGTTCCTATATGCTTTCTGTATGAGGGGTCTTCATGCCTTGAACCTTTGGGAACAATGATTCCTTAAAACTTTTATCTTACAGCAGCATAAGTGGCTCTACCTGGAACATTCTCCTACTCTCCTATATGGCTCATCCTTACATGAAGATCTGTCTATAGCCTATTTCCCTTTCATATCAAACTAGTCCATTCTTAGATCATAAAGCTGTAAAATCAGAGCTGGGTGGTTTTAAAAATATGTTTTATGCTGGAAGTGGTACCACAAACCTTTAATCCCAGCACTAGGCAGCAGAGTCAGATGGATCCCTGTGGGACTGAGGCCAGCCTGGTTTACATAGTGAGTTCCAGGTCAGCTGGGGCTACAAGAAGACTTCGTCTCAAAAAAAACACAAACAACAAAAAACTTTTATACTTGATTTATACATGTATGCAGAAAATATTTCTGTCAAATGATAGTAGTGTTCCCAATCCTATTTCTGCTCTTTTACAGATATTTATATTATATTCTCTTAATCATTTTGGTTGGTTTCTAGGAGGTATAGATACAAAGGGGGAAGGTAAACATCTATATTCACAACAATATCTTTTCTGGAAGTCTTCTACCAATGCCTGTAATATTAAGTGGATTTGTTTTGTGAAGGCTACTCTTTTACTGGTGGGAAGATACGAAATGGGAGACTTGGGAGCCTGTCACAGCAATTAAGCATCATATGTTAAAAATCTGAAGTAAATAGGCATCAAGAGAATACCAAAAAAAGTGAATGCTGTTTAAAGAACAGTAGAAGGTAAAGCAGAATTCCACTTCCAATGCAGGTAGCAGTGAGAAGTATGAGATTACTGCTCTCAGGATCCTAACATATTTTTGTAAATTCTAGACACAAGTCATTGTCAAATACAAAGAATATAAAGGAAGGCAGGGAGGTCTGCTTAACTTCTTACAATAATTCTTCCCTAAGCAGGGGACTGGGTTGTCCATACTGTACCTGCACCAGATTTCAAACTGGACTCCATCTCCAGGCACAAGCCCCTGTGAGGAGAAGGCACTTAGCAGGAGCCTTTGCACTGGAACTTCAGTTGGCAACAGGAGAGAGTGATGGTGCTCACTATTAAAGATGGGATCTGGAACACACAGTGTGGTTGAAGTTCTGAAGGGCTTCAGAGTAATTCCTTTGGGAAAAAAAAGCAGTTCAGAATGTCTAACACATCAAAAAATGCTTTGCATACTGTATGACAGTCCTTACATATACAGTATTCAGTTTCAGCCTCACAATAGTTCTGTGAGAACAAAGCAGGCATTATTACTCCTACTTCACAGATAAGGATATGAATACCTTGAAGTCACACAATTAATCAAAAGGTCCGAAAGATAGGTCCCTCAGGGGTGTGGTGGTGCACTCCTTTAATCCCAGCACTCAGGAGGTTTTCAAGGCCAGCCTGATTTCCATAGGGAGTTCTAGGTCAGGTGGGGCTACAGGGAGACCTTGTCTCAACCTCCTGCCAAAAAAAGTAGGTCCCAGATCTGAACTATAGCTTTCATCTTCTGTTTTATTTTTACATTTCTCTAGTGGCTATAGTTCCCCTAAAGTGTTAGGCTAATACAGCAGAGATCCCTTTGCTAGTGGGCAATATATGCGGGTGCAAATTTTTCATATCCTTTCAAGTGTCTTAAACAATTATAGCTGTGTTAGTGGACATGAAGGGCATCTCACAACAGTTTTGATTTGTATTCTCCAGGTGACTTGCAATACTCAGTATTTGCTATAGTTATGTCCCCCAAATGCTCAAGTGCTAGAGACTTGGTTCCCAAGGTAGCAAGGAGCTGGTAGAACCTTTAAGAGGTGGGATTTAGAGAGAGGTAGTTAGGTCATTAGTGGTAGTCCCTCAAAAGGGATTAATGCTAATCTTGTGGAGCAAATTAGTCCTTACAAAAATGAATTGATACAAACTGAAGGGCTTGGCCCTTCTGACGCACAGCCATTTCCCATTTGACTTCTGTATCCTCTTGTGACACAGCCGAAGAGGGTCTTCACTAAAGGCCAAACCAATGTGGGCATGTGTTATATAGCAATTTCCTCCAGAGTTGATACATTTCATCCTGCACGAAGCTCTTAAGACCTGGGATTTTTCTAAAGGGAGGCCCTTTAAGTCTCAGGAAATGGGCTGGAGAGATGGCTCAGGGATTAAGAGCACTGGCTGCTCTTGCAGAATTGTGGGTTCAATTCCTAGCACCCAAATGGTGGCTAAAGTTATCTGTAACTTTAGTTCCAAGGGTCCAATGCCCTCTTCTGTTCTCTACAGGCATTGCATGACATGGCACTTGCACACATGCAGGCAATACATTATACACACGAAATAAAAAAAAAGAGAAAAGAAAAAACACTCAGAAATAACTCAGAAGCTTCAGGAAGCCTCTGAACTTGACCAGATACACAGTGAGCTCTAGGATTCCAGCTTTTGTGAGCTGGAGTGGGCTTTTGATAATGCAGCCTGTCTTTGAGTCATTTCTGCTCCTGTAAGTAAATCAAACAAAACCAAGGTGGACTTTGGTGGTATTCTTACTTTGTTCTGTTTGTTGTGTCCCAGGAATAGTGTCACACAACAATATGCAGTTTCCAAAAGATGAGCTAAATTAACTTCTCTCTCTCTTTTTTTTTTTTTGGAGATAGGTTGACAGGGTCTCCCTGTAGCCCCAGCTGTCTTGCTCCCTCCCTCCCTCCCTCCCTCCTTCCTTCCTTCCTTATTATTTTCAGTCTTTTTGAGACAGGGTCTCCCTTATAGGCCCAGCTGGCCTGGAACTTGCTATGTAGACTAGGCTGGCCTTGATTTCACAGAGATCCACTGGCCTCTGCCTCCCGAATGCTAGCATTAAATGCCCAGTGTTAATTTCTTTTCTTTATGAAAGCTCTAACTTTAGATGTTTTGATATATCTGCAGAAAGTAGACTAATACAGTATCTTTCTAAGTGCTTACTATTTGTATAACTTTGGAGAAATTTCTTTTCAGATCCTTTGTCCACTTTTTTTCTTCTTTGTGGCACTGGGGGTTAAACCTACTTACTGTCTTGTGCTTGCTAGGCCTGTGCTCTACTGCAGAGTTATGACCCCAGCTCTTTAATTTATTTTGAGGCAGGGTGTCACTATGTTGCCCAGATTGGCAATTCTCCTTTCTCAGCCTCCCAAGGAATTGAACTTTTCTCACTTTTACTTCTTCTTTTTTTTTTTGTCTTTTTGAGACAGGGTCCCCCTGTAATCCCAGCTGTCCTGGAACTCACTATGTGGACCAGGCTGGCCTTGAACTCACAGAGATCCGCCTGCCTCTGCCTCCCAAGTGCTGGGATTAAAGGCGTGCCTGGCCTTCACTTTTACTTTTTAATTAAGAAAAAAAATTTTTTGAGACAAGGTATCATGTAGCCCAGGTTGGTCTCAAAGTTGTTATGTACGTAGTCAAGGATGACCTTGACCTTCTGGTTTTCCTGCTTCCACTTCCTATTTTACTGGGATTACAGGCCTGTATTACCATGCCTGGTTTATGGGCTTTGTGCATGGTAGCAAGCACTCTACCAACTGAGCTATATCTCCAGTTCTATTTTTTAAAAACTCATTTCTAAGAGTTCTTAATATATTCTGTATACAAGTTTCTTCTTTAAACTTTAAAATCAATATTGGTAGCATTTGGTATTATACACAGTAATGGTATAATATCTGATTTGCTTGGATTTGCTCATTACAGAGGAGATCAAATAAGGCAAAATTCTACCTTCTTGCTTTAGTTCTTAGAGATGATCAGAAGATGAAGATGGTAGGGGTAGGCAGTGCAGTGTGAGAGTCTCTGGCTCTGGGCCCAGTGGGACAGGGTTTAGGCTTTTTTTTTTTTTTAATTTAAAGACTGGGTCTTACAAGGTAGCCCAGGCTGTGTTGAACTCTCAGTCTTCCTGACAGAGCCCTTGCATGTGTTGGGATTATAGGTAAGCACCATCATGTCTGACCAGGGTTCGAATCTTAAACTTGGCACTTAAATGAGGTGGCCTCAGGCAAACCAATTAATACTTCTGAATTTTGTTTGCTCTTCAGTAGAAAACAGAATAGACTCTACCTGGATAAGGTGTTTCCAAGACTTAAGATAATAATCCACATAAGATTATGTGCACATTTTTTCCTCAGAAGCAATGGTCCAGTATCTCTAGTTCCTGAACTTATTCATAGTGACCTTACAGAACACAACTATCACAGATAGTGTCAACTGTGTGTGTGTGTGTGTGTGTGTGTGTGTGTGTGTGTGTGTATGACAGGAGCAGGCATTAAGTAATAGAATGGGTAAAATGTAAGTAATTGGTAGATCTGGACAAATGGCATACAGAAATTTTTTGTGCTATTTTTATAAATGTTCTATAAATTTGAAATCAGATCAAAATAAAAAATTGTATGAATTCACATTTTGCTACTTCTTTCTAAAACAGAAATGCTGAAGTCATGGTCAGAAGACACTTGGAAGACACTCTGCTCGAGAAGCCCTGTCTATACCTTCCAAAATCGGAGATTAGGAAAATCCTAGCAGATCCTCTAACTGTACAGACACCAGGGTACACCAGGAAAACTAGGTGTAGAAATGCATTATTCTCTATTATTGATACATGTGACAACACATTATAAATAAATATTATGATCACATCTTAAAGATAGCTAAAATAGGGCTGGAGAGATGGCTCAGTGGTTAAGAACACTGACTGTTCTTGCAGAAAACCCCAGTTCGAATCCCAGCTCCTATACAGCAGCTAACAACTGTCTGTAACTCCAGTTCCAGGGGATCTGACAGCCTCTTCTGTCCTCCCCTGGAAGGGGCAGGCACTGCATGACACAGGTTCATTTACTTACATGCAGGCATAACACTCACATAAATTATAAAACAATAAAATATTTAAAAAATAGCTAAAATAGAAATAATAATGAAAATTTAGGCCATCTCCGATGTTATAACCTACCTAAGCAAGATGAGAAACATTTGGCAACACAATCTATTCAGGAAAAGCAAAATTACTAAGTATCCCAGTGAAAGAGCCATGCATGAATGAGAAGACCTAACCTCCCAAACCTACCGTTTTCAAGGAAGTCAGGTCCTTGGAGCACACTGGGTTGGGAGTCTTGAAAGGGAAAGTAGTACTGGACGTAGCAATCTGCTTCTCCCCAGACTGTTGCCTGAAGGGGGGCTAGCCCTTTAACCATCACCACATGTAACTCAAAATGGTGTTCCATCAAACTATTTCCTTGGTTTTCCGCCTATTAAATGAAACAGACACTGGTGAGTTAAAGAGTAACTTGTTTAGAGTATACTTGCTTGTCTATGAAGAAACCTAATAGAAACTTGTGTATAACTCTCACAACTGCTCAGTGTAACCAGACCATGTAGGATTTACTCTAGACCACAAGACTGGGTCAGTATTAGGAAATTCATAAATGTAATTCAGTGCATTAATGAAACAAAGGAAGATTTAAATCTTAATAAATGCTGATAAGGAATGTAATAAAAGTCAACATCTGTTGCTGATAAAAGCTCTGAGGAGGGGCTGGAAAGATGGGCTCAGCAGTTAATAGGAAAAAGAAAACAAATCTGAAGTAAGCAGGTAGTTATTATTTCTAAATAAATTGTAGTTAATAGTGGTAATGCCTACTTAAGGAAGTAATGAGTACACTGTTGCTTCTAGTAACAACTACTTGTGTGCTTACTGAGTACCATGAGACAGGTATTGTACCCCAGAACTTTGCACTAGCTGGTTTAACATACATAGCTAATGACAGCGAAGCACCAGTTTAGACACAAGTCCTCTGACTCTGAACCCAGTGTTCTTTATCTTACATAGCTTCAGCAGACATCAGAAAACTAGTTACAGCCAGGTGTGCTGGCCATACACCTTAATCCCAGCACTTGGGAGGCTGAGGTAGTGAGACTGAGGCCAGCCTGGTCTCCAGGACAGCTAGAGCTACAGGGAGACCCTGTCTATTAAAACAAGAACAAGAACAACAACAACAACAACAACTACAACAGCAGCAGCAGGAAAAACTAGTTATGAGGGATATTTAAAGGAGGAATTCAGGATTCAGATAAAAGTGGGATGGTATGTTTGAAATGTGCTTAACACCCTAACTACAAATCCAATAAATCTAGAACAAAGACTGCATTAAGTTGTTTTGAAACCCCAAAAGATATGTAAGCAATATTGGCTCAAAACTTTCCTTAGGAAATAGAAAACTTACAGTTGGGTGGTGGGGGAGTGAGAGAGCAAGAGCAAGGGCGGGGAGTGGGAAGAAGTAGTAGTAGGAAGAGGAATGGGAGGAGGTGCCGGGAGGGAGCCCTCTTAAAAGGCACAACAGCTGCTTAATTTGGCCACATGGTACTGGAGTGACTTGGTAATTTGGTCCTGCAGAGCTGGATGAAGGACTGTAAAAGAGAACAATCATATTTGTAGCCCTCTAACTATATGGCAAATCGTCCAAGAATTTCCTCTGTGGTTGTACTAAGAAGCATTTTCTAACTTTCAATATGAAATTTAATGGATTTTTGAGTCTATATTGCAAACGGAGGGCCATATTCCACCAAAAAGACTTGAGATTATAGGAGATTTTTCTGTATCTGTGCTTTATATGCGATTTTCAATTAGGAATAAACTCTTTACTCTAGTGACAGAATTCTGTAACAAACAACAAAGAAAAGTTAAGGCTTTTTTTTTTGGTCTTTATGAGACAGGGTCTCCCTGTAGCCCCAGCTGTCCCGGAACTCACTATGTAGACCAGGCTGGCCTTGAACTCACAGAGATCTGCCTGCCTCTGCCTCCCGAGTGCTGGGATTAAAGGCGTGTGCCACCACGCCCAGCAGGTTAGAGTTTTTAACATACAAATGCATAGTGTCTTGATAATATTTTCCTAATGTTTTATTTTCCACTTAGAGATATTAGATTTGTCATTCAGGTTCAGAAGATTTTTAAAAGTATTTCAATAGTATAGAGACCAAGAGGCAACAAATATAAGACCTCGTGGGTCATTATATGGTGGAATTATGACTGAGCTGGAGTCAGAAGACATGTGTCTGATCCCTAATTCTCCCAGTCTTAGTTCTGTGACCTGAGACAAGTAATACAATGTCTCTTGACTCTGTCTTACCACCTATTATCAAAGAGTGACAATGATCTACCTCATATATAATTATTACAGAAATAAACATGGAAATGTAGGCCAGTGTGGTTCCTCAATTGTATAGCAATGTATAAATGGCTTCTTACTTATTAGTGAAAGGCAAGGCACTTCACTGTAACTTTGCCGTATGGACTTGGTCAACAAATAGGGTAAGATTTTGAAGCTTATATTTAGGATTAATCTCACCTTTTTGGGTAAGGCAAGTAAGTTAATAAATGGGAAGATTTTTGTGGTCCCAAAGATTTATTTAATTAGAGGCAGGAGAGATGGCTCAGCGGTTAAGAGCACTGACTGCTCTTGCTGAGGACCCAGGTTCGATTCCCACACCCACATGGTGGCTATGAACCGTCCTTAACTCCAGTTCCAGGGGAATCTGAAGCCCTCTTCTGACCTCCTCGGCATTGCACAACACGGGTGCACTCACATATATGCAGGCAATACACAAATACACATAAAATAAAAATAAGAAAATATTAAAAAAAAAAAAGATTTATTGCTGGGGGTGGTGGTGTATGCCTTTAATCCCAGCACTAGGGAGGCAGAGGCAGGCGGATCTCTGTGAATTCAAGGCCAGCCTGGTCTACATAGTGAGTTCCAGGACAGCTGGGGCTACAGGGAGACCCTGTCTCAAAGAGACCAAAAAAAAAGATTTATTTAATTATGTTTTATGTATATGCCCGTGCCTGAGTGTATGTGCATGCATCATGTGCATGTAGGAGACTGTGGAGGCCAGAAGAGGGCACTGGATCTCCTGGAACTGGAGTTACAAGTAGTTGTGAGTCACCAGATGTGGGTGCTGGGAACCAAATCTGGGTCTATGCAAGAACAGCAAGTACTCTAAGCTCCTGAACTGTCTCTCCAGCCCCAAATCTTTATGTGTGCATATGTGTTTATATTTGAGTCAAGATCTCATGTAGTCAAGGATGACTTTGAACTTCTGATCCTCCTGTTTCTACCACATGCTGGGTTACAGATGTGGGCCATCACACCTGGTTTTATGCAGTGCTGAGGATCAAACCCAGGGCTTCATGCATGCGAGGCAAGCATTCTACCAGCTGAGGCAGATTCTTAGCCCACTAGGTAAATTCTTTACCAATGAACTTCATCCTCAGTTCTAGATTTTGTTTATACATTCAAAGAACTAATTTAAAACATTAGAGAAAAAATATTAACAATTCTCTTGATTTAAAGCAAGCACTTGGGGCCTGGGGAAACAGTTGAGTTGGTAAAGTGCTTACTGCATAAGCATAAGGACCCGAGTTCAATTCCTTGCACCCAAAAAACCAGGTGTGGTGGCATGCGCGTGCAATCTCAATGCCAAGGAGGCAGAGACAGGGTCACTGGGGCACACTGGTCAGCTAGCAGAACCTAATTGGTAAGCCTCAGGTCCCAGAGAAAGAGCCTGTCTTGAGATGGCTCAAGCTATCTTGCTCAAGCATGAGGACTTCCGTCCAGATCTCTAGCACCCACATCAAGGCTGAGCATGGTAGGATGTGTCTATAAACCTAGTGCTGTGGGAACAGAGACAGGCAGATACCTAGAACTCACTGGTTAGCCAATCTAGCTAATCAGCAGGCTCCAGGTTCAAAGACTCTCAAAAAATGAGGTGGAAAGCAATAGAGGCAGATGCCCAATAATGACCTTTGGCCTCCACCTTAGTGCACACACATGTGCACATGCACAAACACACGTGCATCTCTCACACACATACACAAAAGAAGTGGATAGCTCCTGAGAAATGCCAATTGAGGTTGACCACTGGCCTCTACATGCATATGCACACACAGGTACATGTATGTGTACATACAGTGAAGTGCATGCACACACCCTCACTCTCCCCCAAAATAAATAAAACAAGCATTAGATTGCAGTCTACTCTTTTCTGGAGACTTTCATTACTGAAATAAGGATTTGGGGCAACAGTTTCACTAAATATTTAAGAGAATGTTAGATTATAGTTTTCTGTAAGCCAGTGTTGAGTCTTTACCATTGCAACAGATGCTACTGGTGGCTGGTCCAGGAAATGGACTGGCCTAGGGCTGAAGGGAGGGAGTGTTCCTTCTTCATTCTTTAATCTTTGCAGTGCTGTTATCTGATCTGAAGAACCCATGGCTAAAAAGACGCGAAGACTCCCATTTTGATGGCCTGAGAACACATCAATCACAGGCATGTAGCTGTCGACAGCAACAACTGGGTACTTGGCATCAAGCAGCAGGTGAGAAATCTTGGGATCTCTAGGGAGGAAGAGACTGGGAATGAGCACACAGCAATCATCAGTCACGTCAGAGTTGCTTCGTTTCTTACTTGGCTCATTCTCTCAGTTTGTTAAAAATGGATCTATGACTAGAAAAACAAATAGTGGTTAAAAAATATGAGTCTGTCAGTAACCAAACTAAAATTACGAGATAGGTAAGTTCAAGCTACAGCAATTACAGCACTAGGAATGTGTCTAGTTTAGTGCGTTACCATGGTGGCATTAAGTCCAATGTCTGCTAAGAAACAGTATTTTGGAGGAGCTTGTTGAACTGCATTATTTTATAGAGACAATGTGGCCAAGTAGGAAGGGTACAGACTTCACAGGCTCCAAGATAAGATTTGGATAATATTAATGATGTCTGCCATTTACTAAGCACTAAGTGCATGGGAGGCATTTTTATAGTGTTTCTAACCCATTTGACACTGCAAAAGTTGCTATTCCTCATTAACAGTTGAGAAAAGCTTATTCAAAAAGGTTAAGTAACTTAGCTAGGAATACATAGCTGGGATTCAAGTTGGGTTGAGATTCAAGCATTACACCTTCTGATTATTTTTACTTATTAACTAATTTATGTGTGTGCATGTGTAAGTCTGGGTGTCTGTGTGTGTGTGTGTGTGTGTGTGTGTGTGCGCGCGCGCACGTGCGCGAGTACATGGAGGTTAGAGGTTGATGTCAGGTATTTTCCTTGATTGCACTACATATTATTATTATTATTATTTTTTTTTGGTCTTTTTGAGAGAGGGTCTCCCTGTAGCCCCAGCTGTCCTAGAACTCACTATGTAGACCAGGCTGGCCTTGAAGTCACAGAGATCCGCCTGCCTCTGCCTCCCAAGTGCTGGGATTAATGCCTGGCCTACATTATTTTTTGAGACATATTATCTTACTGAACCTAGACTTTATTAGTTCGGCTAGTGAGACCCAGGGATTTCCTATCTCCACCCCAACAGTGTCAAGTTTATAAATTCATGATCAGTGCTGAGCACCTGAACCCAGATCCTTATTCTTTCCCAGCAAGCGCTATTACCAACTGAGCCATCTCCTGAGCCCCTTGTTTATTTTTGCACTGTTTTACCTCTGAACTATTATCTCCAGTCCTGAAGTATTTGATTCTAAACCCAAATGTTCTTTATCAGGCTGAATCTTGACATTGTCACTTTACTTGCTGTATGGCTTAACTAATCAATTTAACTTTTTTGATTCCTTGCTTGTAAAATATAGACACTTAAACTTGGATAACAGCACTGTCAGAACTAAACTGAGATAACAAATGTAAAATAGCAATCATGATACTTGGTACACGGTAAATGTTCAGTGACTGGCAGTGACTATAACTCTATACTCTGATCAAAAAATGGGACTTAATGGACTGAGAAGGGAAGTGAAGGAAGGAGAACAACAGGTCAGACTAATTTCATAACTAGAAAAAAAAGGTGTTGTGGGGGGTGAGTCAAAAGATTATAATGGATCATGGCATCCAAGGTTTCAGTATTCCTTGGCTTGGCCATGCTCAGTGTTACCATCATAGTACTTACCTATCCACAGAAGGCAAAGCTCTACCTTTCCTCACTAGACCCTCATGCTTGTTCCACAGGTGAGACAGGGTCTCTATTATCACTTTTATTTTAGAGATGAGAAGAAAGCCAGAGACACTGACTTCTCCAAGTTAAAGGACACATTTCCTCATTTGTAAAATAAGGACAATGACAATATCCCATGAGGTTATAGTGAGGTTCAAGTGAAATAATGCCTGTGAAAGTGCTGTCTGTAAAATGTAAAACACAACATTTAAAACATGAGAAAGCTGCTAGGAAATAGGTTAATGCTAAAGAAATAAAAACTCTGCCCTTTGAACTGAATCAAAAAAATGAAGTCTGTACTAAGTATAGAAATAACCTTCAGGTTAATGAATATTTTTCCTAGGTGCTAAAGTGGTGAATGTACAGTAACCAAATCTGCAGGTCTAAAACATAACACTCTTTACAGAACAGCTTCTATGAACCATACTAACATTTCATTAGATTTGGGAGGCAGTAACTTTTGTCAGTAGAGTTTTTTGGTAGAGTGGACTTTGGAGCTAGGCTATCTGGGCTCAAATCCTGGTTCCACTCTCATTACTTATGTGGCAAGTAATTTAATTCCTTTGCAACTCTGTTCACTCGTCTAGGTAATGGGAGAATTAAATGTACCTGCTTCAGAGTTTGCTGTAAGATTAAATGCCTTGGGGTATATAAGGCTTGTAGCACAGTGCCTGAAACTTGGGAAGTGGGGTCTGTATGACTGTTCAGGACAGGAGAAAGAGCAGGAAGTGCAGTGAAACTGAGAAAGGGCCTCCAAGGGATTGCTGTTTAGTCACATGTGAAAACCCAAAGAGTTCCTCTTTAGTTCATATAAAGTTAAAGATGCAAAATGAAGAATACTCCAAAAGATCCTATTTACTTGAATGACATGTAAAACTGATGGAGGGGGAGTTTCACCAGCCCGAGCAGCTTGTCCTGTCCTGGGCTCTGCACCTTGTTCCAAGTTTCAATTATCATCACATTGTTCTTAAGCCTTTCCAGGTATTTGGAAGACAAAGAGACAGGAATCACCTGTGCACAAACAGGGAAAATCCATACTTAAGCCAATTAATTTATACTTTCATACAATAAGCATTTACTGAAAGCCTACTATGTGTACACACAGTGCTGAGTTAAAGGTACTAAAGTAAAAGCAGGTCTGTATTCTCAACACAAGTATACTCTGCTATTAGAGACTAACACATAAAAGACAGATACAAATGAATATGAGTTCTCTGAGGACATGGTTCATATTAGAGACACAGTGAAGGTGCCCAGGCATACTAAATATGGTGCCTGCCACGCTCACCCAACCCCTTCTAAGGCAGTGTTTAAAACCCTACTAAGAGAAAGATGCTTTTCAAACAAGGATAGCTTTATCTGACAAAGTGTTGACCAATTTATCAGAGCTGCCAATCCACTGGCTGGATAGCATTTCAAGAAAAATGCAAATAGTACTAATAGGTGTCATGGCAAATAGCAAAGCTAACTAATCATCTGGATTTTCCATGTAAAATTTTTCCAAGAGCAGCCAACTGGTAATTGAACCAGGGATCTAGAGCCAAGAGCAGCTCCATCAAATTGCTAGTAGATGGGCTACAGAGACGGCTCAGCAGTTAATAGCACTGGCTGCTCTTGAAGAGGCCCTGGGTTCAGTTCCCAGCACCCACATGGCAGCTAACAACTACCTTTAGCTCTAGATACAGGGGATCTGATGCTCTCTTCTGACCTCTGTGTGCACTGCACAACACAGGTGGACTTACATACATGGAGCCAATACATTCACACACATAAAATAAAAATAAATAAAATATTTAAAAAAATGATTAGTAGAGTCAAAGGGCCACCAATGTGAAGGAATCTAAGCTGCAGTATCAACTCTAATGGTAGAGGAGAGATAAACTCAAATGGTGAAACAATGGCAAACATAAGGCACAAAGAATGAAACTGGAACTAGTACAAAGCAAGATGTGATGGTGTGTGCTCTGCCTCAGCAAGGCCCTGGGTTCAATTGTCAGCACCATAAAAACCCCAATATGGCATGATGGAAGGAAGACACCAGAGCTGCAGAGAAGCAGAGCAGAACTACTTTTATATTTATCTAAAACAGTCTAAATACATAAGGTACTCAAGTACATTTCTGTTAAAACCATAAACAAACAAATAAAACAAAAATGAACAGAGTAAACTAATCTCTAAACGGAGATTTTAGAGAGCCACTGAGCTTGGGGGAGAAAGCAGCCCTAAAACTGAAGACTGAGCAGTAGCTGAACAAAATGCTCCAAAAGGAGTCAGAGAGACTGAGAAGCAAAGGGAAAGTAGGAGAAATACATGTAAGGACATGGAGGCCAAGCTACGTGTGGTGGCGCACACCTATAATCTTAGTACTCTCTGGAGGCTGAGGCAAAGCATTGTGAGTCTGATGCCAGTTGGGCTAATAGCAAGTTTCAGGCCAGACTGGGCTACCCAGAAGTATTAGGAGAGGCCGGGCAGCTAACACAGCTGGTTAACAGGCTGGACTATTAACTGACTGTGAAGAAGAGAGTGGTGAGAGTGCGAGTGGAGAAACTGTGCAGTGGGTTCTCAAAGGTTGCTAAGGGTTTACCCTCTAAGAGCCTGGACGCTCCGAGGAATCACTGAAAGGCTCTATTCAGGCCAGTAAACGTTTGGGTTTGTGTTTTTGAAAGATTATTCTTGTTGATAAACAGAGGAAGGACTGGAGATGGAGAAGTCAGATTGGTAGGCCCATCTGAAGTCTACTTGGAGTGAGAGTAACAGCGTGAATGGAACGTTGGCGGTGAGCAGAGGTAAGGGGATGTATTCCAGAGATAAGGAAGTCTGCAGCATTATTGGACTTAGTGAACAATTACGTTAAAATCAATGACAGCTTTTAGGGTCTGCTTAAGCTGGACATAGTGATGTACACTCGCAGTTTCAGCGCCAGAATGCGGAGGTGGTAGGATAGAGTTTGAAGCCATCCTGGGTCTCAAAAAAACCCTTAATAAATTACGAATGAATTAGGGTAGACAAGAAGAACAAATTTGGAAAGGATAATCAGATTTGGACATACTCGAATTCTTTCCTATACATGTTCTTATTGAATCTGGCAATGCTAATTGTAAAGTACTTTTGAGACACCTAGGTGCTGATGTCCAGTGGACGGTTGACAGATATCAGACTGGAGGGAAATATCTGATTTACAGAGAGATGCAGATTTGGAAGTTATCTTCAGGAAACAAAAGCTGAAGCCGTGGAAATACAAGTGATGCCCATAGGAAATAAGGCAATTAGAAGAGAGCCAGAAAGCATATCAGGTGGGAGCAGTGATAGAGAAATGGAAAGCGTGCTGGGATCTGCACCCTATTCCTGATGGAGGTATCTGCCAAACTCACCCAACTATTGCTAAGGCAAATGAGCAGATTTTCTTAAGATTCTAATACTGAAAATGATCAGCAGCTGAGTGAGGAAGAAAACTAGAGTGGACGGGCCGGGGAGGCCAAGGCCTAGGCTCAGGCCCAATGCCACCAAATCCTACAGAAAAATCCAGTGAGATGGTGTGCTGGATAGCTTTAGTGTCAACTTGACACACCTGGGTTGAGGGAGCCTCAGTCGGGGAATTGCCTCCATTGGACTGGCCTGTGGCCATGTCTGTGGGGCATTTTCTTGATTGTTGAGTGATGTGGGAGGTCCCAGCCCACTGTGCGTGGTGCCATTCCTGGGCAGGTGGGCCTGTGTTGGATATGAGCACAAGCTGAGCAGGGGCCAGGGGAGCAAGCCAGTAAGCAGCATTCCTCCATGGCCTGTGCTCCAGCTCCTGCTTCCAGATTCCTGCCCTGAATTCCTACCTTGGGCTCCCTGATGAACTACGACCTGGGAGATGTAAGCTGAATAAACCCTTTCCTCCCCAGG